GCTGGGGTCAAATCGCTAGCTGTTCAGGCCTGCCCACACAAACTCCCCTGCCCCTTGCAATGACACGCCCTTGAGCATTGCGCATGCCCAGATCACGGGGAGCATGACATGCCCGGGCACATCCCAAACAAGGCCTAACCCCCCACTTTTTTACTAGCAGACAGACAGAAACACACATGGCTGCTTGCTGCTTGCCTCTTGTGAGCCTGGTTGGCTGCTTGCCTCTTGTGAGCATTTTAATTCCTGTTAATATTCCTTGTCTTTTGCTATAGTGGGAAGGCGGGCAGAATAAATTTTATTCGGGGTACAAATGGCAAAATATGTGTGTTTAGATTTTTTACAAAGGTAAAAACCAGCTGTGGGTTTTAAAAGGGGCTGTGTTTGTTTGTTTTTCCCCCTGCATTCGAGGAAATGCTTTTAAAACCACCTAGATATAAATACCTTTTAGAAAAAAATATCTTTTAGAAAAAAGGGGTTAAATGCAGGCTCTGGCTGCCTTTCAGGGGCTTCTTTTTCCCCAGCTTTTGAGGCACTGATTTTTAAAACTCCACAAAAATTAAAAGCATCGTTAGGCTAGAATGATTAGAAATAAAAAGCCTTTTTTTATTTTTTATTTCACAGCTCCCCAAAGTAGGGCTTGTTTCCCAAAAACACTGGCCTCTGCTAATTATTCACTTAGCTCTTTTGGGTTTTGAATGTCCATAGAAATAGTCTAGGGTTAACAGCTCCCCAAAGTAGGGCTTGTTCCCCAAAAACACAGGCCTCTGCTAATTATTCACTTTACTTAGCTCTTTTTGGTTTTGAATGTCCATAGAATTAGTCTAGGGTTAACCTAATCATGTACCCAGAGGATTGACTGCCAATCTTGATGGGATTAGGCCAAAACGTCACATCCGGAGGGTGGGGGCTGAGCACGTCACTTCCTTTTAGGGCTGTGCCCTGTTGACGTAATCAGCACATGGGTTTGTTTACTTTGATGACGTCACTGATCAAAAGTGCTGATAATTTTCATTAAAAAAAGGTATACACTACTTCTACTGGTCTTTAACACTGAGTTGCTATATCGTGATGTGTTTCATAATGAAAATGGGAAATCAAACACTGTAAGTTTAACTATACACTGTCCAAAAATAGAAAACGAGTGTAGAATAGTGAAATTTCGCTTTTGATCTTAAAAGGTCTCAAATTTTTCCCCTGCTAGGGAAGGTCCGGTTATCTCTGTGTGTGACAAAAAGCACGTTTTTTCTTCCTGTGAAAACGTGAATGCTATCTGAGACAAGAATGTGTTTATTCTCTGACTAAGCTATATCCAGAAACCTAATTTGGCCAAGAAACTCTGAGAGAGCATAGCTTATCTTATGTTTTTATGTCAAATGTCAGCATAGCTTATCTTATGTTTTTATGTTAAATGTCAGCATAGCTTATCTTATCATGTTTTTATGTAACTGTAAACCAATCACTTCAGCTGAAAATGCCCAGTATACTTAGCTAAAATGGGGTAATTCAGTATTTTCCATCAACCTGGCCATATTTCTAATAAAATACTGTCAGATTCTTTTGAGCATGAATATTTTAGTTCCTTATTCACCTTGAAATAGCAACACCTTCTGTTTGAAATCAGATTTCTTGAACATATGCAACAATATTTTAGTATTTTAGATCCTGGAAAGCATCTTGGTGAGTCCAAACACAAAAAACCTTACAGATGTTCCGATAATTCTTAAATATATAATTGAATTTATTTTAATTATCGGCAGATCTGTATGTGTATTTCCATATACCTAACCTTTCTTTCCCTTTTTATTCTCCCCCAAATACATTATTTTATATTCATGATTCCTGGCTTTTTTTTTTTTTAAAAAGTGATTCTTTAGGATTACACTCTGAAATCTTTGCTATCTGTTGAGAGTACACTTTTATCCAACTATGTATGATGTTTTGCAACATTTTGATGGGGGTCCATGTCCTCTGGGTTTCAGGATAGCGGATACAAAGATTCTGCATGGTTTGATATTTCTGGTATGTGTTAGTGTCAGAATATAGCAACTGTAGTGCTAGACTCACAAGAGCCAAATCAATATTGGCTGAGATTTTCAGCAAGGTGATCACAGCAAGAAATGGTCAGAAAAAGAATGATAGATAAGCCTCCAGATTCAAGGGCAATCAATTGCTTAAGGACAAAGATTATAAAATGGTATGGAATCAAATCAAGACCCCACCAAAAGAGCAAGTACTCTTGTAGCTTCTCATGTTTTAGTTGTTTCATTTATACACACAAACAAAAAGCTTCCACTTTGCCAAAAAGCCCACAGAGAAAAAACAGAATTGATTGATCCAAAACACTAATTGGGAAAATGGATCATTTGTTAGTAATGGTTCATGGTACTGTTAGATGTATACTGAAAAGAAAAACTCACAAGCTAAAAGGAGTAAATATTTGGCAGTAGGTTTTGAAAACTGTCCAAGCAGCAACAATGCTTGTTCAATTATTCAGAGTAAGATCAACTTCTAGTATCAGATTGTTGGCATTACTTGGGGAAAACAAAAAGGAGACTGTGAGTAGCATAACTCTACCCTTCACCAATCTATCACGCACAATTTCAAAGTGGATACGAAAGCAGTATTCCTTTTCTGATATTATTCCCAATGGCATTTCAGAGGCATAATTTTCGATTTTAGCTTATAGCTCTCAAATCGAATGCATTAAACTCAGAACTAGAATATTAAAGTTGTTATCAGGCAAGTATACATTAGGAATAAGCATTTTCCATCAGCATTCACAAGGTTGTTTTATGAAATTGTGTTATTTCCATATAAGCATTAATACTGTTCCATAAAGGATATTGCTACTAAAGTATTGAAAGTATTAGTCAATATTTTAAGCTGTTAAGACTTTTCTTCTCTATTGAAGGAAACTTCATTACAAAATATATAAACTCAGGTTATTTAATCTAGCACTAGATGCCTGCAAAAAGGATATTACAGCAGATTTTTTTTTTTACAGATGTTTGCTTTCTATGGTTAGAATTTGGTCCTCTCTTAAAATGTTGGTAATGGATCCCAACTGCAGAAAGAAATTATTCGGAATTGCAATTAATTTATTAAAGGCATGTTAATGGAAAACTATGAGTATACATTAATGTTAAGTATTCACTTATGACCTCATCTTACTTACAGTTCCATTTGGAAGACATAACTGCAGAGAGAAAAGCTATATCCCCCAAGGCAGCTCGGGTAATCTACACTTAGATTCACAATCTAAGACCAGCGGAAGTTTAATAATTTAAGTCCAACTAAGGATCTAAGAATTATTAAGGTACCGTTTAAGAATACTGTATAGGCAGTTACAAGTAGGGCGATTTATAGTAGAACAGAAACCATTGTGGACTTTCTAGGTGTGGAATACAATAACAGATTGTTAACAAAGGGCTTTGAAGTGTAACCTTGCTGTTGGCTTTACCTGGTAACCATGTTTTTTTATGAGGGTGAAGATTCATTCTCTGAACTTGTGGGTTGGTTTCCGAATGTTTCGTTACCAGGCTAGGTAACATCTCCAGCAGAGTTTAGGGGATGTCAGTGTTCTTCTGTTTATAAGGGCTTCAGGTCTGGGTGTGCCTAGTGAGGGTCTTGTGATGTGTCAGGCGTGAGTCATCAGTGAGTATTGTGATGGGGAGCTTACATCAGATCAGGGACATTTGGATGTGAACTGCTGGTGGGGGGGCTTGTGTGACTTAGTTGAGTGTCAATGCCGTCTCTGGTTGGCTATGCGGTTGATTTGGATTCTGAGGGGTTTGTAGACAGGTTATAGGTCAATGTGTTTGTTGATGTAATTGCTTGTGGAGTGCCAGGCTTTGATGAACTCACGAGCGTGGCAGGTAGTAGTGTGGCCAATGATTTTTGTGTTGCTCCAATTGAACTGGTGCTGTTTGGTGTTGATGTGGGTGGTGATTAAGGATTTGGGATCATGGCATTTGAGTGCCAGCTGGTGTTCATGGATCCTGGTTTTTAACTGATGTGATGTTTGTCAATGTAGAATTGGTTGCAAGAGTTACAGTTGATTTTGTAGATTACATTGTTTCTTTCATCCTTCTATATGCTCGAGAATTCATTGAAGCCTGGCACTCTACAAGCAATTCCATCAACAGACATACTGACCTACAACCAACCCCTGGAACCCCTCAGAATCCAAATCAACCACAGACAACCAGAGACAGCACCGACCCTCAACCAACCCACACAACCCCCCCCAGTTCACTTCCCAATGACCCTGACCTGATGTAAACTCCCTATCGCTAGACTCACACCTGACCCATTACAAAACCCATCACAAGATGCCCACATCTGAAGCCCTTATAAACAGAACACTTGACACTGATATCCCCCAAACTCCGCCTAAAGTAGAAAACATGTATAAAATCATAATGAAATATGTACTAGGGATGATTTAATGGTGGCCAAATCTACATGCTTTTTGTACTGATCCATAATGGTTTAAATATCAATTGTTCTCAAACAATTGAAAAAGATTTTATGTAGCCATTCATAAAATGAACATTCTGTAGAACTGTGTTATATGGAATCTCAGTAAAACATTTTGAAAAGGGAGGAATTGTGTTGTAGGAATTAGGTATATGAAGAAAAATTATATAAGAGTACTGAAGGTCAATTGTTGATTTGTTTTCCTGGAATATTCAATCTATGCACTTCTGAGATTGTCAGAAATCTATACTTCGTGCTTGCTTTATTTCCATAAAAGCTAATGGGTAAATAATAAGATAAAACATTCTGCTTTCTTATAGCTATTCAAAAACCAGTAAAACCATGGAAGGAAATAAGGCTAATCAGGGCTGCCACCAATATCTGCAGGGTCACCATGTTCGCCCTGAAAGTTTCTGAATTGAGAGGCTGGACAGACAAACCAAAGATATGAAAACAAGATCTTTTTACTCTGGCGGCCCCTTCTCCATAGAAAAGGAAAAACTATAAAAATAAGCAGTCACTTGTTTAAATTACATTTTTTTATTTTTATGAATATCCCTTTTAAGTCCTTCATGCACATTTTCAACATAAAAATCTTTCAACTGAATTGTATGACATAAGTTATAATTGTTCTATAATGTGGCAATTCCAACAGCTCCTCAAGAATCTATTAAACTTTGGCAAACAGTATCATCAGACTAGACAAAATCCAGTAGGAAGGGCTTGAGGAACATTTTACATTTGATATAAAGTGGAGCAGTGTGTGGACCTCAACTCATGAATGGATGAGAGAAATTTTCATAGCAGTACAGCAGGCAACATGGAATAGGGATTATTAATCATAGCTATGTTGATGTGTTTGTTAAATGATAGTAATCCATTTTTTTCATACTGAGTGACCAATGAAAATACAGTGTTGCATTGTTTGCATCAACAAGTTAAATGAGGATGTTAGTTTAAGACTGATAGGAGATTCAGCAACTCCTAGAAAGCAGCCATTTTTAAAGAAATACCATAATGATTGTACAATATTGGGATCTTTGTCCTGGTAACACTGCAAGCAAATACTAGGGTTTAGTCCATTAATATACAAATATACATATGTAAACAGGTAATGTACAATCAGCCTGAAGTTGTATCTTGCATCACAACTCTGAAATTGCACGAATGAATAATAGTATGAGAATGCAACAAAGAAAAAATGTGATTTACTACACTAATACACTTATAATAAAATTAGTTTAAAAAGAAACAGCTATCTTACTCATTCTCTCATGTTATTACATATTCAACATCAGAAACTAATCTAACATAGATACAATTCCTGGCAGAAAGATGAAAAATGTCCTTTATTTACATAACTGTGCATCTAGGATAAAAATTAAAATTAGAATCATACAATTCCAGCTTTCTTCATCCACTCATGCATATAAACAATGCTATATCTGTAATGGCAATAAGCACCAAATAGATACCTCTGACCTCTTTAACCCTAATGGTAATTCTGTAGAATGCATTGTATGTTTACCTGTGTGAATAATAAATAGCCATATACACATATATGAACACACACAACAAACACTTCAGGCTGATGGTTGTCATGACATACATAATTCAAACAATTCAAGGAAGAAAATAACTAGCTTTTTTTTTAAAAAAAAGTGCATAGAAATCAAAATATTTAAAAGATTAAAAGAGCTCCATTCTGGAAAGAAAATTCTATCTGTTTTTACAAAAATAAAATGTTTCTTCTAAACTTTATGGATACACAAAACAACTTAATGAATAGAGAATGTGAAAAGCTTTCTCTAGCTTTGAAATGCATATTATGGCAAAGAACTCCTAAACTGTAAGTCTTAAAGAATACATGAAAATCTTGGTTCCTTAATATGTCAGGAATTTACTGGCAAAATTAACATATTTAGTACTTCCTTAATGTGTATGGCATACACAATTCAGGCATTAATTATAATGCTTTAGAAGATATGAATATAAATATTAGATATTTTCTGTAACCTTTCTAATAGCAAAACAAGAATTTCTTTCTTCTTACTTTGGGGCACTTTGATATCTGTGTAGTTCAGTATTTTTTATCTGGACAACATGGACTATACTTTTCAGCTAAAAGTACAATGCCAACAAAGCACAAAATGGCTAAAGCATTCAAATGGTAGTATTTCCCCAAGACTGAAGAACGTTACCCAAAATTTAAGAGTATGGCTAGTTTGCATGCATTTACTCAAGTTCCACTATATTTAAAAGATCTATAATAACAATATAAATTACTTATACCTGTATAATATTTAAATGCTTCATAGATGGACCTATTTCCATAAAACTATTTCCTGAGTCTATCTTTTTCTAATCAAATTCAACAGCCAAATTCAGAAACATTCATTAAGAAAAACAAAGCCCTCTGTGGAGAGGCAGCCCTATTAGACAACTTTTTCACATTATTTTAATTTTCACAATGTAAATCCCTACATTTAATTTATTTAAATATAAAGTTACACTGTTCTCTAGCAATCTGTTTTCATCCTGGCAAATTTCTGCAACATTATAACCAGGCAGATACTGTTTTTTTTCCTTAAAATACAAATCAGAGAGCTATTCCCCCCCAAAAAAGTTACACCAATCCAAATAATATCTGAAATAATTAGCAAACATGTAAGGAAATTATTACGAAGGAAGAAATTTAAAATTGCATTAAATACTGAAAACTTTAAAAAAGGAAACTTTTGGATTAAACTTGATTATGTTGTACTCATGGTGCTACAAATAAAGTAAAAGTGATATAAAGGGACCAGTTCCCCCCATGTAATGAGTCTATCAATCCCAACTCTTTCACATAGAGATCAAAACCAATAAAAATATTATAAAGAGTAAACAATGTACTTGTCTGTACTTATTCTGAGTTCCCAGTTCATGGAAGATCAGAAGAGATGAATAATAAGAGCATTTGAGTTTGCCATCTACCCTAGATTATTTGGTATGTCAAAATAAAGAGCTCTTTACTCTCTCTGAGTTGTAATGATTTTCTGTAAACATTAACATCACACCTAGAAGTAAATTCATTTGTAACAGCCTTCAAGGATTCTGAGTAAAATAACGTATTCCTTATCCCTTGTGGTAGATGATAACCCTTTCAAATTAATTGGATAGTAAAGTAATTTAACAGCACAAAACCTGTGAATTTTCAACACTAAATAGGCACAAAATATGTCTCAGTCAAATCAGATAAAAATTATATATAGCATAACAAAAGATAATGAATGTTATTCAAATAAACCTGTCTAAACTTGGCATCACTAGGGAGAAAGTATTCAAAGAATATGAAAGATTATGGGGAAAAAAAAATCTCATGTTTATAAAGTCTGAAACTTCTTGAATTTTCCCAATTGCCTGAAATATTTTAAAACAATATAATCGCTTACTGGTTTTTATAATAAAGAGATAAAACACACCTTAGCTATGACGAAAAACTATTATTTAAAACCTATGAAGCCTATTTTGTGTGTGTGTGTATTTAAAAATTCCTACTTTCCAGAATGTTATTAAAAGAAAATATTTTAATTAAAGTCCCAATCTATATAACTTCTGAAGCTGAACTTTTTTTTGCTAGTATCCCTTGGATTGATGATAGGACGTCTGTTTTGCATTTCCAAGTTGCCTCTGCCAATGAATGAAACACTTCTACAATTTGAATGTGTCCCATGTAAATTTTCCAAATGTATGGCAATGTTTTGCTTTTTTGCTTTCTTGCCTGGGAAAATTTATTACCCATTTCTCACCGAAACACTACATAATTGTGAAGTTTTTGATTGATGCTCATGGTGCTGATGAAGAGTGGTATTTCACAAATGCAATTGCAGCCAGTTCTTTACAAAATTCTTCTAATACTATCACACCTTCAAGTAATGTCATGTGGTCAACACTGTAAAGTGAAGATAAGGAATAGATTTTAAAAGCCACACAACGTCATTAGGAAATGATCTGTATTTGACTGGCAATTAATATACTTACATAGGCCCTTCAGGTTCTAACCCAAGAAGACGTTTCCTGACCAACAGAAGTTTAGGTGTGAAATCAGGTATGCGCTGAATCCGTACCATCAGATCTCCAACAACCTGTACATTATCCACAAAATATTGAACACAATGAAGCAAAGAGTCAGTGTAATTATATGGATCTGAATCTGGCAATAAGAAATCAAAATTCAACTTTCTGAAATACTGTGCATATCATGTAAGACAGATGGATCCCAAGAACCCTATCAAATTCCCACTCTGGTCCATCTGATGAAATTGCGTTGACGAAATGATGAACATTAACAAGAATAAAAGCTGCCTTCCATTTCCAATTGCTCAGCAGCAACACCATTAACATTTACACAACTATGAGTCTGATCAGATGGCATACTTACCCTAACAATGACTGAAAAAAGAGAACGGCAGCCAGAAGCCAGATTTACATAGGGATCCAAAAGGTATTCATGAATATGTGGATGTGGAAACAAGGAAAGCTTGGACAATACAGATGTGACTTGTAGATTGACATCATATGGCTGTGTGATAAAAAGAAAAGAAGACATTTCCCAAATATACACATTCATTGTCATAGATACAAGAAGCAGAAAATTACTAGCTTTGCTTTTAACCATACACAAGATTTACAATGAGTAATTTTTATCAACCATGCAAGCACATGGCTTTAATTGTTTGACAAAAAAAAAAGTCATTATACTACTCAAAGAAAGCCAATGGTTGAGATTTCAGTTTTATTTCTTTAGGGCTATAATTGATTTAAAACTATCAAACTGTAAGCATAAAAGAGACAGAAGGTGTACAATGGATCAATTATTACTGTTTAGACTATGTGGGACAGAAGGTTTCTAAATGTCCTATTCAACACATCAGTCAACTGTCATCTATACTGATGATCGTTTGTGGTGATTGAGAGATTCTTATGGCTGCTCTTGTAATGCTAATAGCAGGCTGAGTGCAGCACAAAGAATTTGTATTTTCTTCCTGTCCCTACTTCTGGTCCTTTAATATATTTTAGCATAATCAAGGGAAGATTATCATTAGGTAAAATTCTCAAAAATTGGGGTGATGGAACAAAGTAATTTTCCTAATGTACAACCATTCATTCATTTGCTTGTTAGCATTTCCTGTCTATGGCTCAAGAGAACATTCATATGCCAATGTTATTATATTAGCAACCTAGTAAGAAAGATTGTGTTTAGAAATAGTTTGATCTATAGTTATTGTAATGGATTTTTTTTGATCAGCAAAATGTCCACTTTATCCTTTGTTTCAGTTGTTATAGAACAGTAAGAGAGATTAAGTCCTGCAAAAATCCTACAGAAAGCAAGAAGTTTTCAGCCTAGGTGGCTGCACACCGATCGCTTAGAGCCTTCTGAGACATTCCAGTTACATAAAATATTGAAAACATTTTGTGATTAGCTAAAAACTATTGATATTAACATGTTGGTATAAGCATCAAGAGGATATTAGCCTTGAGAACAAGAGGAGAACATGCATGGAATACATGGGCTAAATCCGTAATCAGGAACTATCTTGCACTTAAGAAATAAATCACTTTTTGAAAAAAAAAAAAAAGATAGGCAAAATCGTGTAATTTGGAAGTTCTAGATACAGAATTTCAGTTTCTATGTAAAAGAAAATCAGGAAAAACAACAACTATTCAGTTCAAGAGGCCAGTACTAATGGATTAACAGCATATACAATGTTGTGTCAGAACACTGAAATGCCGTTTATGGATCCAAAAAGCAGGAAACCACCATGTCATAGGCTTTATAACAGGGGTCCCCAACCTGTGGGCCATGGCCCACTAGTAGGCTGTAAGGAGTTTGCAACTGGTCTGTAGAAATGGCCGGCAAGACCATGCGCATTCTCACTTGTGCGAGCAGCAGGCGAGTGCACGTGCACTCCATTTAAGTGAGTGGCAGGTGCGCTTGCTGGCCGCTCACATGAAACCATCCCCTCCCCTCCACTGCGGGTTGCATTAGTTTTATAACATTAGTCTTATGTCAGTAGAATTGTATTCAGTTGTAAGTAAATGTTCACAGTCTTATTGTTAAAATAATTAAATCAAGTTTTTCATTTTAATCTCAAATGAATTTAGATTAGCGTTTTAGGCTTAAAAAAATGCAGCTAGCTTCCCTTATTTTAGTATAATCTAGCATACCAACAATTTATATTATCCTCTCCCTTTAGCCTGTTCAGATTTCATGACTCTTAACTCTTCTATTTGGGGAAAGACCTTTTTTTTAAAAAAAATCTGAGTTTAGGAACATTCATCAATTCTCAAGTATACAAAATCACTCTCTACAATGTAACTGTACTAGGTATGTTTTGCCTAAAAACAGCTACATCACAAGAGGAAGCAGCACAAAATGCAGATTTACCTGATCCAGAATTTTGCCCATTCTATCAAAGAGAACTTTCAAGAAATGTCCTTCAAAGAATGCCGTTTCTAAATTGCACTTTTCCAACAATTTAGGAGATCCTGGCCATTCCCATCGTAAGCATATGGAACAATAATCCCGAAACTAAAGAAGGAAACATGTGATTACTAATTAATAAATTAAAAAACAAATAGTAACAAATAGGAAACACTTGAATAATCAACTATTTTTTAAAGATCCCTTTAAAAAATCCCAAAATAGCGATAAGCAAGGCTATCTATCTGTCTGTCTGCATTACAGTATCCTTCTAAGAATATTGTAAAAAACGTTGAACTTAATTGATAAATGCTATTTTCTTTTTGTCGGACTACAATTATATATTTAAACTAAATACTATACCGCAAATATCACTTATGAAGAAAAATTAAGGTACTAACTTGAGGCACATTAGGATGCTATAAAATTTAATGTAAACCATGTCTAATGTAAACCATTTACTAATCAAATACTGCTTCAGTTCATGCTGCTTGATAGATAAAATAAGGAATGAAATGTACTATTATGTGGTTGCTGGGTTTAAAAAATAATAAAGTAAATTGTCACATCATTATGTAATCATGTGAAGTTGGCTTCTGCTTCCCCCTTGTCTGAAACCATCATATATATAAAATAGCATTTTCTGTCTTTACTTACTTGTCGATGGGCATCTCTGAGGTAGGTATCATAACCTGTTCCTTCTACGTGGTAGGAAGATTTGGCTTCATCTGGTACAAGACAGAGAAAACTGCAAAGATATACAAAACAAAGATATATATAAAACAAATTCTTTCTATGTCTTTACAACAATGAGCAACTCAAACACTATTTAACTAGTTACATGGATTGCTGTGAAACTGAATACAAAGAAATCTGTTGAGGCCTTTCATTCAATCTGATTACAGAAACTTTGCACTACTGGAAAACAATGTTTAATCCACTCTTTGTTATTTCAGTTGGCACAATATTTATTTCAGTTTCCTATCCATCAAGTTATATGCCCTTTTGAGAGCAAAACCAAACATAAATTAAAAAAAAACGGAAAAAATTGATATCGTGCGATGATTAAAAGAGCATTTCATATATTTCATTCACAAAGTAATACACACAATTTTACATATACATATGCACAAATGTTGAAATCTATCCTTTTCTTTTGCTATACAAAATTTAATTTATAAACTAATTCAATTTAATGTATTTTTTTTTTTAAAAATGGACTTTTTTCCTTTTTTTGTTAAGTTTTCACTTGAAAATAGCAAGCTAATAATATAAATATAATACTTACAAAACCTGTATGAATATCTTATTAAGGACTTCTTTCTAAAATTATGGATAATATCATTGTGTAATATTTACAAATGATAATGAAATCTATGGTTGAATGAATAAAATAATTACTTTAGGAAAACGGATGTTGGGTTTAGTAAAAACAAAAATTGTCTCAACCAAACATTCTGGCTGTGTTAGGACAAAGCCCAGAGACAAAACAGTGAGATCCAATCAGGTAGAATTCTTTATTTGCTTAGACTAATAGAATCTTGCCAAACTAAAGCTGTAATTTTCTATTAAAGCTGTAACTTTCTAAGGTATCAGACATATCATGATAGATTCTAGGGTTTGTTACGCTCAACAATCCTTCCCCCCCCCCCCAGCTCAAGACTGGGCAGTCTCTTGATCTAGGCCCCTTCCTTGGAAAGCTCGGCAAAATCCTCCCCCTCTGATGCTGCTGCAGGTGCACATCCCATCAAGACTGAGATCTTAACTGTTCATTGGAATTACAACAAACTATGTTGGTTCTATTAAGAAGGGGAAAAAACCCTGCTAGACATAAAGAGCAAAAAGGACATTTAGCTGATTTTTCAAATGAATTTAAGGAATAAGCATTACCATCTAATGGCATATCTCTCAGGGTTTCATACTTAGATTTCTATTGAAATTCTGTACTCTAAGAAGCTATTTGTAATAGTTTTGGCATTTTTCTTAATGCAGCGGTTGAAGAGTGAATATTGCAGCATAATCAATTGTAACTAATTATAACTAATTGTGTGATTTTGAATATATTAAAACCGGCTTTAAATACTAAATTAAAGATTCAGGAATCCAGCTCACAAATGAAAGTCAGTCATTCCCTTCTGGCTGATTCATTATATTCAAAGCTATCTATTAGTTCTCTATCTTAAAAAACACTTTATCTTTTCGATTTTCTCTCAGGCTCAGTGAATACACATGCACTACAAGACTCCTAACTCTAACCCATACTGTCACATGATAGCTTCAATGTTCATCAGAAAAAGTAATCAATTAATCTGCTCCCCTTGAAACCTTCAGGTCTACCTTATAGTAAACTCTTGATTTAACACAGTAATGTGGCAATGAGTATCCCACTAAATCAGAATGTTGTTAAATCTGAAATGAATATGTTCATGTGCATTTTATGAATGCATAACATTGGAATGGGATTCTATGCTCATGTAAAATAGTGAATGAGATTTTAGCATACATATATGTATAAAGGGCAAAGCTTTTGTCCACTACGTCCAAAGTATTCTAAACCAAGATTTGTTAAACAATATGCTTATGTAATGCACGTAAAAACAAGGTCATTCTTGAGAAAAACCAGACAAAAAAAAAATGCTGTGAATATCACATTTACTTCTGGAAGGTCATATATGAATATAACAAACAATTACTAAAATACATACTTTACTAGTCATAAGTATTGGATTTTATTGCGGAAACCTAAGGCAAGTATTATAGTATTACTAACCTAAGAACAAATATTAGTAAATTTAACACACCTATTTACAATTTTATGGACTTCAGTCTTCCCATCATTTTTTGGATGATCGGGAGTTGTAGGTGGTGAAGCGCTAAGCCACTCTTGATTTGACAATATAGTATCAGGAGAAAGATCTGTAAACAAAGGATCTTCTTCCAGGTCTCTGTGGCAAAATGAGGAAAGAATAGAACTTGGGTTTCCTTTGTTAAAAAGTTAATGCTTTCTTTTTGAAAGACAACTTTATGTCTGCAATCTGAAAAAAATTACATCCATCTTGTACAATTTCTACTTCCTTTTCCTTTCAGCTACAGCCTTCAACTCATGAGCAGCTTTTTAAACATATTCCAAAAATAGCTCGAGTAAAAATATGAAAACATTCTGTCACAAAACAATTGCAAAATAGGCCTTTCCACTATCAGAATATTTGAAGTGTGAACCACTTCAGAATTAATTACCTAGAATGATGTTTCTGTTTCAAACAATGCCTACTTTGACAACCAATGCACCATTTAAGCAATTGCAGAAAGATACTGTATATCTAGATATTTATATGGCAAGGGGAAAAATGTAAATTTTTTCACGATGAAAAAGAATGAGAATTGGGCTTTCTTGATTTGAAGTTGTACTTTTTAGTCTGCTGTTTGGTTTGTATGAAAGAGTGGATGTTACGCAAAATAAAAGAATTTTATAAATAGAAGGACATGACCTGAGATTTGGATGGCATGGTTTTTAATGGTACATCAAAGTTAAAGTAGACTTTAAAAACCATTATATTACAAGTGCCATCTTAAGAATAGGGAATAGATACAAACCCTGGCTGTGCCTGAAAATGTCTTTGTGGGTCTTAGTACAAGAAGAAGTTTATAGGAAAGAAAAAGCAGGGGAAGAGAAATGATGAACACATCTAAAGTTGTCAGAACAAGAATATAAAGAATACAAGATGAAAAAAGATCCATTGATTGCAGAGGGATTTAATTTTCAATTATTTTCATATGTTCTATTAAGAGAAAGATTCAAAGTAGACAAAAGGACATTAGGAACTAATAACTTAAGATGAAATTTGAAACTGAATTATATGCAACATATAAAATGTGTAAATTTTTATTGAAATTTGAATGGAAAAATAAGATAAAGGGAGTATGATAAAATGTGTTAAGAACTTTGGTTATAATATACAGAGGGACCAATGGGAAAATATGTGGGCTGAAATTTATATTATATTACACATACAAGGTAACTTTTATAAAACTGTTGGTACATGATACCAAAACTATTTAGAATGTGTAAAGATACTTCAACTCTATGTAGGAGATCTGGAAAATATGAAGGGTCATTTTATCAAGCTTGGCAGACTTGTAAAAAAGCATTTTAAACATTAACATTCCACTGAAACCAAAACTTTTTTAGTAGGGACTAATGGATAGACAATTAGAAAAGTCTTATGGAAGACTTTTTTTCTACGTGCTAACTTCAGCAAAATGTATATGTGCAAAGATGGAAATCCTCTGAAATATCCTCAATGGAGAAATGGTTGGTGAAGATGACAGTATTTGCAGAGATGGCATAATCGACTTGTTTCATTACGGAAAAGACAATAACTACATTTGTTAGTCATTGAAAACGCTTTATAGATTTTTTTCTAAAAATAGAAAAAAATGAACTTGTGATTTATGGGGTTTGATTATTGGAAAAGGTAGATAAAAGGGAACCTCTCTTAAGGTATCCTTAGAGAGAATAAAATCGAAATGCAGTTATGACTTCTGTTAAAAAAAATTAGAAACCACTCTTTTTTTTAACTTTCATTTTTCTTTCTTTTCTCTCTCCTTTTATTTATTTCTTAATTACTTATCACTTTTCTTTCTTTTTAATGTATTATTTTGTAACAAAATTATTCAATAAAAATTAATTTAAAAAAATTAAATATAGTGGCAGCCTGGGTGAGTCCTGCAGCAATCGTGTAACATAGCAATACCAAGACTGGTTAGTAAGCATGCAAGCCACAGCATTCTAGACCAGCTGTAATTTTTCAATGGTCTTCAAGGGCCAAACCCAGTAAATTAATCTAATCAGAGATGACAAGAGTTTGAATAACAGTCTTTGAGATATCCTGCTGCAGATAAGGTTACCATGAAATGGGTAGATGTACATTCTTCATTTGTATGTATTGCATTAAACAGCAGTATTTTTAAACAAACTTTCATGATTTTATTACTACTTCTGAAATACTCATCACCTATTAAAATAACACATTCAAACATTAAATCTACATTCTCAATTATTTGCTTATTAAAATAAACCTACCTGAAACTAAAATAATTTTAGTTCTAAAAAAGTGCTAATGAAACATAGCTACTTCAGAGGAAATTCAGAACATAATAAAACATACACTGCTCCTGGTATCTGCCCATTTTCTACCACGTCTTTATCTTCTTGGCATGGTGGTTTATATTCTGTATAGTTCCTCTCTTCTAAATTTCTAAGAACCAGGTTATAAAGAATGTGTTCATCAGGCTTTTGCAAAAGATGTTCAAACATTCTGAGGGTCATTATGCTGATCTATAGAAGTAAAGGAAAAAAGACATTAAAAGATAATTGCCTTTTTCACATGGATTCTCAGTATTATTATGCTCGTCACTGATAGAACAGCTGTAGAGGCTAACACACAGAGAGAGATATACTTAATACTCAGAACTGCAATCTGTGCTTAGAAAATAGGTTTTGGTTCAGAGAAACACAATTGTTACTATCTCCTAATTTGGTGGCTCACTACAGATGGAAAGTTAGGAAAAGCTGCTGTAAAATTATTTTGGGAATCCATCTGAATGAACTATTCTAGGTTAGGGATGGAAAATTGTCATACTTCCAGTACTGAATTAGTCTTGTTTATATAGCTATTAGTGAAGTTGTAATTCAACAAGTGGAGGACCACAACTTTCTCTAAGTATTTTGCTTAGAGAATGGAAACAACACACATGCCACAAGTTCAAAGTAGCACTTAAGTGAATATTACAGGCTTGCTAGTCTGAGGCAAATCTTGAGATATTAGTCTTCTAATTGCTAGACCTGCAGAGCACTTTAGGTTATCAGTGACCTGCCTAGCCTTTGAAAGTGCTGACAGGCATTTCTACCTCATAATTTTCCATTTCCTCTCTTACCCATCTCTGCATCACCTCCCAAAATGCTAGTATCCTATATTTGTCAAATAGGAAAAGAAGCACATATGTATGCTAGGGATTGCATACAGACTTTTTAGTATTTGCTTTTTAGTACTTTATGGGTTACTCTGAATTATTTATCCTGAGTGGTCTGTCCACTTAGAAATGAGACTATTAGAAGGTGCAGTAGTATAACCTTCAATTGTACTCAATATATACGTATGTACACATACACAAAGACACATGCACACACACGTTTATCTGGTGTCTAAAGATGAACTGTTCACCATTTAAAAGTTAACTTATTAATACACATCTGAACACTGGTTGTTTCACAACAGCACTATGTACTTGCTAAATTTGAGCTTCTTACCTCATCTGAAATGTGATCACAGTGCTCAATTAAGCGATGTCGCAATGGGTGCCTGTTGACATCCATTAGTTTTTCTGGCTCCCGCTGCTCTCCAAGGATGAAGTAAACCATTTCATGAACTAAGGCATCTGATGTGACTTGACGAACGATACGATGCAACAGGGCAGTTGAAGTAAGAATTCCAATCTCTGAACTGATCATAACAAACATTTTTTTAAACAAATTGAATGACGTGGGTTCCTTCGTTTAAAAAAAAAAAAAAGGATGGGAGAAAGTCCAGTTCATTTTCAATGGAAGACTACTCACGTTTGCATTAGTTGAGGTTCCATCACGTCAATGAAAAAACGCTCCCGCACTGAGATTGCCATGGCAACAGCAGTTGTCTAAAACAGAGAATATCAAGATGTCATCTTCATGATTTACAAACCATAGCTTTGTGAACTTGTTTTGGCAATGACTGATACAAGTATTACAAACCTTGTGAGCTTCCTTAATAAGCTGATCACAGTAATCAAACCAGGATAGAAATGAAATCAGAGCTCTTTTGCCTGGGAAAGCAGATGCATCTTCTTTATAGTTATAGGAGTCCAAACTAGAGTGCAGGAAATGAAGGCAAATGAAACATATTTGATATTTGCTACCATTATAGCATAATGATAAACAATAATTCTAAACATTTAGACAATTTTCATTATTATATTGATAGTGATACTTTTTCCAACTGAGACACATTTAAATTTTAACCAATCTCAAGTATAAGGTAGGTTATACATATAAATCAATCTATGGCTTAGAAATAACTCAAACATTTCCAAGAGTCCACAATGTAATACAAACATGCAAGGACAGAACATACCCCCAGTTAATGCCTTCAACTGTTTCGATATCTAAAGGATCCATTGACTGAGGGAGGGCTTTGTAAAGAGAGGCCAGCCTATCTGTCAGCAGTTCACATAAACATGTACTCTGTGTTAAGCACTTGGCAGCTGCAGGTTCAGGCAAACTCACTAGAAGCATGAGACCTTCACAAGCTTTCACTGCTATTCGGCCATCCTGTGAAGGAAGAATAACACATTTCACTAAGTTGCTCTGATAACGTCACTGCTTTAGACAGGAAGGCAATGCAGAGAGTGGTGAGGATGGCAGAAAAGATTATTGACAGTTTACTCTCTTCTATCCAAGACATAGCATATAAGTGTTGCTTCAGCAGGGTCCACAGGATTGTCTGGGACACTATACATCTCTTCATAACCTGTTTTCCTTGTTATCTTCTGGGAGGAGGCTACGTGGTATCCGAAGCAGAACATCTAGATTCAATCACAATTTTGTTCCATATAGCATCAATCTTCTGAACTCTCAAGCTTCCCCTTCCCACTACGTATTCAAGATGGGACAGTAATTAATATTTATATGTATTTATATGTAAGGGTGTAGGTATACACATGTATATAGCATGTTTATATGTGTGTTATTTATGTGTATACTTTTGAGAGCAGACAACAGAATTTCATTTTTAATGTGTGCTAGTGCGCCCACAGTAAAAAATGACAATAAAGGTTATTTATCTCTCTAAAAAAGTTGATGCACATCTAATTATATAGTTTCCATGGCCTAGTCTAAAAAAAAAATATGACAGCTAGGCTAAAACACAACGTAGAGGTTGACATAATAGATTATTAATTGATTACATAATATGGCATGAATGTATGTGTAGGATTAATTTTACTTATTTATTAAATAAGACAACCACTATCAGGATTGACTCTATTTACAGAATAATTAAAAAGAAGTTGGCATTCTCAAATGCAGCTTTACTAACCTTTAAAAAAAGTAAATGGGTTTCATCACATTTCTATCATCTGCAGGTAACATGGCTAACAAAATGGAGATAGCTTTAACAAGGTCTAAAAGTTCTTGCTAATCTCAAGCATTATTTAATAGATTGGGTATTAATAGGACATCATTCAGAGCAAGACTTAAGGAACTTACAATAGTGATTCTCTAACTCTGAAGTATAGCTTTCTGAAAATAGTAAATTAATGTACTGACTCTTATGCAAAGAAAACTAATGATTTTGTTGGTGTTGACGTTAATGTTGTATAAGGGATAAACCGCTTTTAATAATTATCTTTCTTCCATATACATCAAGGATTCTCAGACTTAGCTGTATGAAAGCCCCTCCCTCCAGAGGTAATGAGAAGCAAAGCCTAGAAAGTGTGTGGAGAACATTCCCACTTTGCCTACTCAGTGTGACATTTGCCTCCCCCTCCCCCCAGTAGCTTACAAGACTTTACTAGAAATCCTGATCCACAGTTTGAAAACCGCAATTTTGTGAGAATTCCTGTGAGTTTTGGTTAAAGTGGATCTGTAGTGACCATGATTACTCAGCAGCCAAACAACCACCAGAGAAATGATATCCCTCTTTAATCCAATATTAATCCTGCTATAATAAATAGACACTCACGGGGCTTTTGGTAAGGTTGAGCAGAGAATTCACCAAATTATAGTCCCCATGTGGGCGAACAGCTAAAGCCTCTGGAGATAAAGGGATGTTTAATTCAATTTGATTTGCAGACAAATTATCTGCCTGCTGAAGGTCATGCTCTCTCTCTACTTGCTTTGTCCTATTTGATGTTTCTTCAGACTGAATGGACTGTCCGGTATCTGTCACCCCAGAATCTTGCCCCTTTACAAGGTCTTCTGTGACTGAGTTTTCCGCATCTTTTGAAGCCAATACTTTCTGCTTGTTCTGAAAAAAAAGTTAAAATGGATAAAATCAATGTTTGCTTTGTAACAGAAATGCAGCAAAAAGAAACCCAAAGGAAATGAAGAAACAGCAGAAGAAACCAAGAATGTTAAGTTGATTCCAGAGGGTCTAAATTTCTCAGTAACTAAAATGCATTTGAGTTGAATACTGTAATGGAAAAGGAAGCTTTTCATTATGCCTTTCACATTTTAAGAACTTTTAATCACATCATGTATTTTTGATTCTCAGATAATTTCCTTAGAACAGGAAAAAAAACCCACAAGCATTTATTGCACTATATATCTTGTACAGACTGCTAAAATTTATAAACATCAAGCAATCTTCCATGAATTTTAGCCTGCTTAGATAAGCTATTATCTTGTGTTTATTTGTAACTTATATATTTACATACATACTTCAATTTTTTAAAAACAAAATACCCACACATTATCATTTGATTGGTTAGCCTTAGTGGTTTACTTCTTCTGTTTCTTATCTAATTAAAACACACTTCCCATCAATCAGATTAGTCAGAATTGCCACACATGTTAAAAATAGAAGAAATAGGCCATCCTTCAATAATTTAAACTATGCTGCAAAAAATTGCTAGAAATTGTACCATCAGGTACTCTACATATCCTTCCAAATGAAAGCAGACATTTATGATATGCAAGGAATCTTTTAATACTAATTCTAAAGAAATCCAAAAGAATTCAGTTTAGGACCTCAACTCACTTTATTATTCTGAGTTCTAAAAAGGGTTTTAGGTGCTAATCAAGTCATGCTCTAATTGCACACATCTAGAAGAAAAAAATGTTATTGAAATTAGCAAATTTGTACTTACCCCATCACAAAATTGTGAAAACCTTTCTTAAAGGCTGCCCAATTAAAAGTAGAAACACTTTAACATTTCTGCCTAAAGATCTGCTTCTGTTTTGTGAATGATAAAACAGATTCAAAGTTCCAGTTTTTACCAATTTGAAACAATCCTTAAGAACTACGGTAATGGATCCATAGGTTGCTTTCTATTTAGCAATATGGCACACTTATATTATAATAAGCTTGCATAAACAATTGTGTAATTGTTATTTTGGAAGCACATGTAATATTCCATGCATTACAAAAAATAAACATTAAGACTGAATGTAATTAGAACATAATTATGTTCTATTATGAACAAATGAGATAAAAAGATAAGAGTAATATTGTATAGAATTGCCAAAAATGTTTTACTATAAAAAGGCATATATACAGTTTCTAAAACATAATGTAGATTTCTTTCTTTGCTTTTGAAAATGAAATTGAGTCTATAAAACACAATAATTTGTGTATGACCGGCTGGCATCATTTTAACATTCATGGATCCCATTATTCTGAGACCAAATTTAAGTACTGCGCGTAACTATACAAAATAAGTATTTTTAGGTTTTCAGTGCTTCTTTTAAATAGACCTCAGGCCTGTAGCGAGATTTCAACACAGTTGTGATGTGAAATTGTTAATATTAGTCTTGATCTAAAATGAAATACTTGCAGAAAGAATCAATCTGACAAATGGTAGCAAAGACTTGTTGACTATGCCTAAACTTAGTATAGCCCACAATTTTGTACTATAATTTTAAAAGCTCCAGCACCATGACATTGCTGCTTTATGGGATTTGTTGTCCCAAAAATTACATAGGACCATGTTTCTTTTACCATCAAGAAACAGTCTGTTTTCTCTGGAAACAATAAAAAAATGTAAGATATTTCAATGTGGTGGCTGTTCTGGATTATCGTTAATGGCTTGCAGTAAGAGATGATTTATGTATCACACTATGCAAAACAATCAAAATTCACTGATTTGTTCATGCATTTCTGAAGCCCACCTGCTCACCTGCCTCGAAGAAATGTGTAGGACAGGGCCTGGAATCACCTATTAGGAAAGTTTAATGAAATAGGCTGTATGCTTTCTGATTCAAGAGCATCATCACCAAGGGACTTCACTACCAGACCACTGGGGATAGCAAGAGCAAGCAACAGTTTGCTGAACTTAACAGAAAGAAAAAAGCCAACTCAGTTCAGCAGCAAAAGGTGTGTAGAAAGCATCTTGTCAAACAAACAAACAAACAAACAAACAAACGCCACATAAAAAGCCCAGCTAATTAATTGTAACGAAAACATCCAAACAAATGTAATCATACGCATTCTGTCAGGGTACATATGCTGCTCATTTTCTCTTTTCACACTATTAGTCACAAAATCATGGAACAAAGATAATTGAAAACACAACCACATAATTTCATAGGACAGAAGACATTGTTTATCAAAAAAGGACTGCACTGAAAAATGCAACAGTGTTATACATATTCCAGTTGTCCAATATGGCCACATAAATCCGCAAATAATGGCAATAATAATTCCCAATTTTCTAAATGTAGTTATAGTAGAAAACCTGTTTATGGAAAAAGTTGCAATGGCTCTAATAAAATTCAGAAGGTTAGCTGCTAGCAGCCGTCTACCACTCATTAAAAACCTTAATACCTTCAACAGTATTAATTCTATATATGTCTACTCTGAAATGTTGCAATAAATTCAGTCAGAAATACTTCCAAGAAGAAACATAGGATTCCAAATTTGTAAGATTCTCTCAAGGTCACCAGTCTTTGCTCCATGGCTATGAGTGTTGGGTTGATTGTTATGGCAATAGTGAATTACTATAGACTCTAATCCAACTGGGCTGTTAAAACTTTTAAACCAAATTCAGTTTATATATTATAAATTAGGTATGCAGAACATGGTGAGATGCATTTCCTCATGTATCAAACAATCAAACTTTCTATCACGATGGATATCTTGAAATCACTGGATATATATTGGCAAGCCTAAGCAGTTCGGTTAAACTGTTTGTTTGTGTTTGTTAAATTTATTTGCCACCTATCTCGCCATGGGGCTACTCTAGGCAATTTACAACATAAAGAGTGCAAGCAAAACAAGAATATCTGGATTATTCCAATGCACTCTACATAGGGCTGCCCTTGAAGACCACCCAGAACCTTCAATTAATCCAGAATGCAGCAGCAAGCCCAGTAAAGGGGGCCCCTAGGTTTGTCTATGTAAAACCTCTGTTGCATGAGCTGCATTGGCTTCCAGCTTCTTTCCTGATGCAATTCAAGGTGCTGCTCATCACCTTTAAAGGCCTATATGGCCCAGGCCCAGATATCTGCAGAATATCTGCCTGAAGTTCAGTAGGTCTCCACCTATTTAGCCTTCCTAAGGCTTTAAATCTCTGACTTTTCCATCAAACATTGTAAGATCAGAAAATCAAACTGATTTGGCACCAGGTTTTTATTCTTTTTAATTCTTTAATATGTTTACTGAGTTTTACAGCTTTAATATGATTTTATATGTCTTTTAATTTTTGATTGGGGGCCATCAGAGTTTGCTGAAAGATGGGTGGCTGTATAAATGTTTTAAATAAAAAATAAAATAAATATAATCTATATATGTGATTTGTGATATTATAAACAAATTTAAATTTAAAATTAACAAAATTGAAGAATTAAAAATTCAGCACCATTGTAACTTCAGACAGTCTCTGAACAAGTAGTCAATAAGTAGCAACTATCTGTACAACATGACATTGTCACATTAGTTTTGATTGATGTAAAATATGGGGGAATGCTTTTTTTTCCTTTTTTAAATTTCAAGACTGAATTATTTATAAATAAAGGTGAGATTAAATATTTAAATAAATATTAAATACAATGCTTAAAAAACAACAGCATCTTAACAGGATTCAGCCTCAATTTATTAGTCCTCATCATACCATTACAGAATTCAAAGTATAGAACCTAGCTCTGATGCAACTGACTACCTAATTATTTCACTAAGCAATTTCGTGCTGACATTAAACACAGGTCACAAAATGGATCCTTTGGATACTCCACACTTTAATAATGAAGCTGACCAAGTTCCCTAAATACACAATATTGTGATTCCAACTATCACCATACAGCCAGCCCAACAAAATATTACTGCACAATCAGTAGTTATCTAATGTGATTCAGAGATCCAGAAGTACATGGTTATACTTTCACATTTCTCTCTTTCTGCAGATCATCTATAAGGATAATCAACATAATGCTGGAACTGTTCTAGATCAGTGTTTCTCAACCTTGACAATTTTAAGGCATGTGGACTTCAACTCCCAGAATTCCACAGCCAGATAATCTGTTTCTTCTGAAAACACTTAAAACTAACCAACAACCTGTCTCAAATACCTTAGTGTTTATCTATACTTGGAATTAGTGGAGGAGTCTTCTTCAGCATAAGCTGTCCTTCTGTGTCCTTGAAAATGATCTCACCATTTTATTAGTAATTTTATGCACCTAATTAGTATTTATTAGCCACAACAGAATCAAGCTGTACATTGTGAGGAATTTCAGTGCACACTAACTGGAACTATTCCCAAAACACCAAATTGGCAGCACTCTAAAATGTCTTCCATAAATGTTTAATTGTATGTCCAAGTCTGTGTAGCAATACTTTTCTCAAAAGCATTTAGCAAAATTATGATAAAAGAGATGAATCTCCATCACTAATTCTGTTTCACTAGAATAATTCTGTTCAGCACCTCTCAAGGATGAAATTGTCCTCTTTCCAGGTAGGCCAGACTGCAAATACAACCAAATGATCTAATTCTGCCTTAGGCTACATTAATAGAATCTTGCAAGTCTGATAATGAAAACCTCCTGCTGTCTCTTTTAATAGCCTGAAAAGTTAGGAAGATTCCCTTTTGCGTCTCTCCTTCTGTACATATTATGCAGTCGAGAGTTATGCCATCTTTTATCTCATCATTCCCTAGGCAGTACCTCTTCCCTATTTTCCAAGGTCATTCCCACATACCATTACAGTTTAAAACTCACACACAGTTGCTGGTAAAAATAGCAATTTACTCAAGGCAAATAGATAACGGCAGTCAAGGAAAAGAATATAAATCAAAACAATCTCTGGAAATCTTGTCTGAGCAATTTTGCTTTTAACAGGAACATGCAGAAGAGTAATTAAAATCCAGTCCAAAGTTCAGAGAGTTAGGTTTGTCAGCCACTCCAAGGTCAGAGTTTCATGAGGAAGATTCACAAGAATGATATGCCAAAGGAAGAAATCACACAGTTGTCTCTAATAAAGTAACAGATAAAGCTGCCTTTTAAATTAGGCTGCAGACAGCTATCTTTAATCAAGAGTGTTACTCCCTTGTTTGACAAGAAGCCTCATTGAGCACCTGTACTCTGTTCTCTGCTCTACTCTCTGAATCTGAGAACTTGGAAGGTGAAGCTGACAGCTCCAGCCATTCCCATGGTGCCTGTGTTTGATCAGCCTCAGGTGACTCTTGATAAGAGTCTCCTGAGGCTGATATTCCACATGTTCAGTTAGAGCAGCTTCTTAAAGAGTCTGAGTCCTTGGTCATGGCACTATCTTCCTCCCCAGAACTCCATCCAATCTCAGCTGGAAGCTTATGCTTCTGGAAGTATTATGGAAGTGACATATCAGAGGTGGAGCATGAACTTGGAATGCATCCTCACCACCATTCTTCTGGGCCATTTCTCTTGTAGTCTATCAAACAATTTAATCAGTGTTGATACTTATTGGAGTCCAAAATATGTGCCACCTCATACTTGGGCTCATCATTTATCATGATAGGTGGTGGAGGCAAAGAATTTGAACAATGAGACACTGGAACACCAACTGCCAACAATGATCTATGGAAGACATGGTATACTTTATTTGATGCAGGTAGTTTAACATGATAGCTTACTGGGTTATTCATAGCTTTAATTAGTCTCCAATTAATCAGGCAGCTGCAGTTTATTGATATTGATCAGCAAAAGGTTTATTTTTTTGCTTTCCATATCTGAAGGATTTGGTGGATTGCCTTCAGTTCCTGCAAGCATTAATTGCAGATGTAATTGATTAGGTAGGGGAATCCACAGGGGAAAAAAACAGAGATGGAAACCATAATTAATAAGAATGATGTTATTTGTATAGAGATGTGATGTTCACTGTTTTTAGGCACATTCCTCTGAAGCCAGAAATTTAGTCCAATTGTCTTGATGGTAAGTTACATAGCACCAGAGAACTGGCTTTCTTGGAACATTCTTTGACCAGCAGCAAAGGGCATAAAACAACATATTGCTCTACTTCTGTCCTGTAATGTGGCCACCAGAAATCTCTAGCCATCTACTGCTAAGTCTTAAATGGACCAAAACGCTCTGCTGGTGGGCTGTCATGACCTAGATGCAGAACAGCAACCTGCAAGGCTCCAACAAGAACTCAACCTTGAAAGAATAAGACATTTTGATCCAATACCATGAGGGAGGTTATTACATATATAGCTTCAATTTCCTTCCAATAGGCCTGGGCAGTAGCAGGCAAGGCATGGCTGTTCTTGTAGTTCCTGAAGTAAATACAGTGGAACATTGGAAGCAGCCTTTTTTTGGGGGGGGGGGGGGAGATATAGTAGTTGTAGCTGAGAGTTGATGTCTGATTGTTTATATTATGGCTTCCTGGAATGGGCATTGGTATGTTTGTTTGGGTTGCTAGGTATATAAGTAATTTTAAAATTAAAACAGAAGAACAGTAACTAATGGATTTGCCTTTAGTTCAGCTTCCTGGTTGTCTGAAGATGCTGATGGTCAAGGTGTATGGCCTTTTCCAGCAGATATCACCAAGTTTCACATGTAGCTTCAGTTGCTAACAGTTCTTTTTCCAAGATGGTATACATTTTTTCAGCTGTGATAAGTTTGATAAGTAGCACCCACAAGAAAATGGGATGAAGGAATGTATCTGCCATGAGCAACAGCATTCCCAGGGCTACATCATAGGCATCAGTCCCTATGACAAAAGGCTGTGTTGGATCTGGATGATGAAAGGTGGGTTGAGAGATGAAAGCAATTTTTTCTACTGAGTAATACACAATCCTCAATAACCTGGATCAAGTGAGTATGTGCTTCAAAAGTGATTGGAAGGCTGTTATTTCTAGTTTGATAAAGAAATTCTCTACTTATAGCAATGGGATTGCTGACATAATCCTAGTCCCTAATGATTAAGCTCAAGTGCCTTAAGGTTCAATTTTATTTATATATTTATTGGTTTATTTAAAAGATTTATATGGCTGCCCATCTTAAACAACTCTGAATGGCTTACCAACAAAACAGCAACACTTTTGAAATCAAGAGGAAATTATGAATATACACTAATCTAGTATTGTTTTTCCATGCAAATCCAATCTTTCTAAAGATTTCTATCCAAGGAATCTGTGAATTAGGAAGCAACTCAGTTTAAATTGCTTCAAGATAATAAAAGTACTACAAATATATATTACAAGGAATTTTAGGGTACGAAAGTAAAGTAAAAGGCTATGCTGGATTTATGAATAAATATGAAACTATTATTTGTAAAAAAAATGGAAAAGTATGCTTAACAAGGCTTAAATAATTCATTAAATATTATATTTATAAAAGTATTGTGTCTGCTAGTGAAGCACAATTTTGTGCAAAATTGAAAAGACTCTCTTAAGAAAAACTAACTTTTCAACACTTAAACAGGCTTTTCAGTAATAAAAGCACGATCAGCAATGGATTAACTTACTTCAAGAAAAAAATTAACCAGGTATGGATCTTGTTTCAATTTTGAACATACTGTGCAGAGAAACTGGATTTCTTCATTTTCTGTAGGTGTTGCAAGAACTTCGCCACAGAGTCTTATTAATTTCTGTTGAAAAATTACAGAAACATTTTTAAATCAGGTTTTTTAAAAAAAGTAACAATTTCTACTGATTCTTTTGTAGAATCATACTCTAGATCTCCTTAAAATAAGAAAACAAATATATTTAATAATAAAAAAGAATGTATTTTAAAATGTACCATTTTTAAAATTAATCCAATACCTGTACAGGTCGGTGTACATTTATGTGTGGAAGAAGAGGTTGCTGTATTCTTCCCAGAAGTTTAGTATAAAAAGATAAAACCTGTTGTTTCATGCCTGGAGGACACTAGGAAAAAAATGAGCAAAAATTAAAAATTATATGGAAACTGATGAAAACAATTATTTTCAATATTTTATATGTGTTGACAAGCTTCTGATATTTCATAGAGATTTATTTTTTAACTTGTACAGTATTGAGCTCTTCTGAGTTCTATTTTGATTGAAAGATGGCAACAAATACTTAACAGAATACAAAATTATTTTTATAACAAGAATAAATTTTATAACAAACAGAACACAATTACAGTATTTAAGAAAATTGAATTTTCATAATACACCTTACACAGCAGAGTTAAACATGTAGTACCTATTGGAAATACCTTAAAATAAATATATCTTACTATGATTGTTGACTGTTTTTTAAAGATTCCCAGCAGGTGCTATGTGCTTGCCCATGTGGACTCTGAATCACATTTTTCCACCTGAATCAATCTCGCCCCAGACCTTTTTTGTACATCATACCAGCATTTTAAACTAACAGTGATACATGAGTGCATAGGCCTGGTTGCATTGGTTGGATGAAAAGCAACCAATATGGTTTAGGTATGACTTATTGAAAATGTAATTATCGTTTGTGGCCCTAAAACTGTTAGACGAGGCCATGTATGCTGACACTTTCCCAGCAGCAATCTCACACATGGGAGGGGGAGCTACAATGAAAGTTAACATTATGGAAAGTATGGTGATTTGCCTTTAAAGCGATACTGCACAGTTTGATGATATTTACAATTCAGATCAATCGTGAATTGATAATTTCAGTAAAGACTAAGATAAACTGGGTAGTAAGAAAAGAGGATTGAATAACTCAGGAACAAACCAATTCAGCATTCAATAGTTTTCAATCTGCCCAACTTGCAAGACTTTCACATACAGTATGTCATGTGTTTATGCATGATTCTAACTCTTAGTAGCAATATTTCTTCCTAGATTATCCTAAAATATCATTTCCAACACATCTTTTCTTGTTCAACAAGACTGGAAGAACAGGAAAGATTTAATATGTGTTAAATAAATACAATTACATCCAATCATAAAATCTGGCCTTTATTGATAAAACCTAATATACTTACATCAGCCTTGCCCAAGGTGTATAATGTTTCCAAGATTTTGTGATGTAGCAGATATTCCATACAAGGCCCTGTTTCCCCAAATTCCCTTTCATTTTCTTCTTGAACTAAAATGTCCAACATCTGCTCCAGATGTGATGGAATATTGGTATCAGTCACAGGAGCCTTGTCATCTACAGAAAGCATTTACATTAAGATCCAGCTTCATTAGCATGGTATAGTAACTTATCAATATAGCAAATATTTTTTTATTTACTTTTAAATTTTCTCATGTGATAGAAGAAATAGAAAACACAAATGTATGTATTATTTTTACTAAGCACTGAAATTGATGCATATCTGTTGGAATTAGCTTATTAAAGCAAATGGTTCATGATATTTTGTGAAAAAGGACAGAAAACTCTTGCAAAAAGTGCTTGGAAAAAAAGTCAGTTATATATCATCTTCGATATTACTAATTATATATATTTTTCGATATTAAATCTCAATATAAAATATATTTAAGCCACGAATAAAAGCAAACAAACCATTTATACTATTGGTGTAAAAATTAACTGAAGCCTAAGTGGTATTTATTTATCTCAGAACACTAAAAGCAATGGAGATACAATTTCATCTAAGGAAACGGTTGCATTATAAATAAGCCAATGGAAAGTTTACTCCATTTCCTCTTATGCAACTTTCTACAAATAAATGGTATTTCAAGGTAAAGAAAGTCAAAGTCACAAGAACAACTTGCAACAGCTGAACCTCTGGACTTCTAACATCACAAATGTGTTTCAGAAGTGTTGCCAAGTACACCATCTACAGGTCATCAACTAGATTCCCCTTTAGTAATAGTAGTAAAGTTGGAAGGGACCTTGGAGGTCATCTAGTCCAACCCCCTGCTCGGGCAGGAAACCCTACGCTATTTCGGACAAATGGCTGTCCAGTCTCTTCTTAAAAACTTCCAGTGTTGGAGCATTTACTGCTTCTGGAGGCAAGCTGTTCCACTGATTAATTGTTCTCACTGTCAGGAAGTTTCTCCTTAGTTCTAGGTTGCTTCTCTCCTTGATTAGTTTCCACCCGTTGCTTCTTGTCCTGCCTTCAGGTGCTTTGGAAAATAGCTTATTCCCTCTTCTTTATGGCAGCCCCTGAGATATTGGAATACTGCTATCATGTCCCCCCTTGTCCTTCTCTTCGTTAAACTAGACATACCCAATTCTCGCAACCGTTCCTTATATGTTTTAGCCTCCAGTCCCCTAATCATCTTTGTTGCTCTTCTCTGTACTCTTTCTAGAGTCTCAACATCTTTTTTACATCGTGGTGACCAAAACTGGATGCAGTATTCCAAGTGTGGCCTTACCAAGGCATTGAAGAGTGGTATTAATACTTCACGTGATCTTGATTCTATCCCTCTGTTAATGCAGCCTAGCACTGTGTTGGCCTTTTTGGCAGCTGCAGCACACTGCTGGCTCATATTTAAGTGATTGTCTACTAGGACTCCGAGGTCCCTCTCACAGTTACTACTATTGAGCATGGTGCCACCTATGCTGTACTTGTGCATTTGGTTTTTCTTGCCTAAATGTAGAACCTTGCTTTTTTCACCATTGAATTTCATTTTGTTAGTTAGTGCCCAGTGTTCAAGTCTGTCCAGATCCTTCTGTATCTGAAGCCTGTCTTCTGGAGTGTTGGCTATTCCTGCCAGCTTGGTGTCTCTGCAAATTTGATGAGTTCCCCATCTATCCCTTCATCCAAATCGTTGAAGATGTTGAAGAGTACTGGGCCCAGAACAGAGCCCTGGGGCACCCCACTACACACTTCCCTCCATATAGATGCAGTTCCATTGAGGACCACTCGCTGAGTACGGCCGGTCAGCCAGCTACGGATCCATCTGGTGGTGGTTCTGTCTACCCCACATTTTTCTATCTTGTCAAGTAGTAGGTTGTGATCTACTTTATCAAATGCCTTTATTTTATTATTCCTTGGATCTGATTCTGTGTATGCCAGGGCTTTTCCACCTTTTCACCCATTGTACCACTTTTAGGATATGGCAATATCCGAGTACTACCAGTCACCTAGCAAGGTGTCAAAAACTTGATGACAAAAAAAAAAGTGATAAAAGTACAGGTAGTCCTCGATTTACAACAGTTCGCTTAGTGACTGTTTGAAGTTACAATGGCATTGAAAAAAGTACCCCCCAAGCCACAGCCGAGCAAGACACCCGCCTGCCCACCCGGTGGCACTCTTCCTCCTCCGAGGCTGTCATTGTTGTGAGCATTTCTGTTGACGATTGGCAGCAGGGGTGGTGTGGGATGTGTTTGGTTTTTATTCCTTCCTGTCTGCTAGGTGGTTGCAGCAGGTTTTGGTCACTTCACATAACCCTGGGACACTGTGACCATCATAAATATGAATCAGTTGCCAAGCATCTGAATGTAAATCACAAGACCCTGGAGATGCTGCAACATTCCAGCTGATCGGCACTTCTTCTGGACTCAGCAGAAGTGCCAGGATCAGTGCTGCTTTCCAGCTGATTGGTGCTTCTTCAGGGCTCAGCAGAAGCACCAGGATCAGCGCAGAGCTCCAGCTGGAGCCTGGCGCTGATCTTGGCGCTTTCACTGAGTACTGATAGCCCCGAAGAAGCGGCACTGATCCTGGCGCTTCCGCTGAGCCCTAACAGCCCTGGAGCTCCAGCCATCTCTTGCTCAGGCTTGTGCGGTGCTACCACTGGTTCAGCTCATTCCCCTCCCCCACAACCACTTTTCTAGGATGGTCCGTACCACCTGCCAGGTGCCAGTGTACCACAGGTGGTACCCGTACCACTGGTTGAAAAGTCCTGGTGTATGCCATATGTGAGAACTACAATTCCCATCCACTGAATTGCTGAAGGACAATAAATTGAAGAAGATTATTTTAGATCACTAGTTTCTAAGTGACAACAAAGAATTTTGTCTTACCTGACGTTTCTATGTAATAATGGGTAATTGCCTTCCAATGGTAAACAAAGTCCTCTTGCAATGGAAGGGAAGGTGCAAGCTGAAAAAATACAAACAAGTGGAAGATATTTTCTTCAAAATATGTATTTTATATTCCTCTAAACATCTCTGCAATTTACTTATGAATTTGTCACAAAATATACTTGACAGATATATTGTTCAGCAGGACAATGATATAAAATACAGCTGTCATTAAATCAGGTTACATAATTCTGAAAAAAAATGATCCATAGAGCTATGTATATTATCTTTTTTACTTATTTACTTTTACTTATAAAATTTATTCTGATTTTATTTAGGGGAAAAGTTAAAAGGAAAAATTATAACAACAAAAAAAAAGCAATATGACAAGGACCATAACAAGACTTACGACCTTTGGTTCTGTGACCAGTTACAAGTGTGTTGAAAAAATGGACTTATGGCTGGTCCCAGGATTAAAAGCATTTAAGTACCCTTGCTGTCACATTATAAAAATTTGGGCCTGCCTGCACTTATACAAGGGGTGCTTCAACTCCACATTCCTGCCTATATCCCCTTCCCCATCTCTGCCCTTTTGGTATTCCACACTCCACCATATACCTCTGTTTGCAGCTGCCCTTTGCTATCTTCTTCACCCTGCTAATGGTAATGGGTGATGGTAAAGCTTTGAGATACATGGTCAGCAGGACAATGGAATTCATTTGTTGAAGAGAGCTAACTAGGCTGGAGTGGTGGCAATGCTTGAAGAAGTGGAGATATTAGGGCTTCTGGACTGTGCAATACACACTGTGTACCGCAAGTATTCCTGGAAAAAATGGCCTGCAAGGATGTCCATTTACAAAGATGCCCAGGCACTGCCATAAATGCTGTTGGCATTGGGATATTTAAGAGTGGCATTCAGGGCCAGCAGTTCTTCAGGACCGTGGGGATGGCAGATGGGTCCCTGATTAGGGCTGCCACGATCAAAGCTTACAAACCTATGCCTGCAACAAAAGCCTATGCCTGCAGCACACCCTCCTCCATGGTAGCTAATATTGCCTCTGCCACACATGCTAGAGAACTCCTTTGTTTTTACAAGACTACCCACTCCACAACCTATCTGGCCAATGTGGAGGTGAACCACATGATGGAAGGGAGGGCTCAGCCATTTAACTTTTAATGTATTGAACATCTCAAGCGTCTTAAGAGCTTTTTCTGATTGGGCAAGCCCTCTACTTTATCATGTGGCTTACCTTCCTTTCCCAGACCTTACTAGTGCTTTTCTTGGTTGGTATTTGAGAAGAAAAGACTGAGCTTTCACTAGAGGAAAAGATACAAAACATAAAACAGGGTCTGTGGCTGATAGAGATTTTTTGTTTGGTGAACAAATTGCTTTCTGTAATGCCCAATTCAAACACTTATCTGCTGTCATACACACATGGATAAGCAAGCTGAGTAGCTGGGGAAAGTTCTCATGCACCTCTCTTTGATTGATTGTCATTGTGTGCCATTTTCCTTCTTATTGATTGGAGTTCACTGCAGGTAGGGCAGTCCCACTGATTTTTGCTCCCTTTACAAGGGGAAGGCTGGGCCAAGAATGAGCAAAGGACTTATGGGTAGCTTCTACTGATGCTAAACGTTTTTTCTTCAGCCCTTGCTGAAGCTTGCAGGCTGGTTTACCAGAAGGGCTTGGAACACAAGTTGCAAAATGTGTACTGCGCCTTCCAGAAGCCCGTATCCTTTCTTTTTCTCCACTTCTGCCCCCACCGAAAATAGTGTCTCCCACACAACCTCCATCTTTGCTCAGAGAATTACCACTGGCTCTCTTGCCTTGTCTCGAAATAAGGAGCCACACCAAAAATTGTACACTGCTTAGGGTTGGTTCAGAACTAGAATAGTGTATAATAGGGGCGTCAAACTGCTGGCTCACGAGCCAGTTGCATCATGCAGAGGCCGCACTCACCCCAGCTCTGGCAATGCGAAAAAAGTCACGATATGTCATGACACATCACGAGATACAATGAGTTTGACATCTGTGGTCTATAAGTATTATAAATGCATAAATAAAAATTTCTAATTTTTTAACATGACTGATTTAATATCATACTATGCCAAAACCTGGCATCCCCAAAATGACACTAAGTGACACCAGATCTTGGCAGCAATCTAATAGAATGACTTGTAAAGAACTGAGACTGAGAAAATATAACATGCTGTATATATTTATGGACATACATGTAAAAAAAGATAAAGATGAGTTATCAATATTAATCTTTAAATCTAGGTCCGGACATATTCTTATCAATTTGAGCTAGTAAAACCAGCACATTTCAAAATATAAAACTGTAGTTTTAATTCCCAAATGTTACAGAAACTATGAATATCAATCTAGAATTTAGTACGGAAACTATGGATATCAATCTAGAATTTAGTATTTAAATTAGAATTTTTGCACATATCCCAATTTTTGCAAAATATATAAAATAAACTGAAGCTAGTTTAATATTAATATTTAATAATATATATTTTAAAATGATCTATTTAACTTAGAAATACGTGCAAACTTTTGTCTGCGCTTTCCATGCTTATCACTGTATTTTATTTCAAGTAAAAACATCCTGTTTGATTTAGCATAATTTCCTCCTACACCCAATCTTAGGTACTATAATAAATATGATCTGAAATCATCATTACCCCAAGGCTTTAAATCCTGCTTTCCTTAAATTGCTGCCTAGTAATTAGTTTCTTGGCTTAACTTTAATAGGAAACAAATTCTCAACTACAATGGTTAAGATCTTACTTTTTGGAAATCAAACCATACAAATTATATTATGATATAGTTCTGGATATGCCTGTGTGTTTTTTATCACTTATTTTGCCTATTTTATATTTTTCCTTTGTGGTTGGCAATACTACTACAGTAGCCATTCCATCAATAAAAAAGTCCATTTGTGACTTATTCAGTACCAGAATTATTTTTTCAAAATCCAAAATACCAAAAATGTCCAACAATTCAAATTGTTGTGGCTCTTCAGGCTTAGCATATGTGAACCCTGCTAGTGATTTTAATGATCCACAAAACTAGCTTCTTTTTCTTCTTCTTTTGCTCATTCAGCAAACCCTGAATGAACACAAAAAAATTAAAAGTCTGTAAAACTTTGTAAATTTAGCTAGCACTTATATTAGAAACCCATACTATTTAATAATTTGAGTTTTACTACTCTGATAAAAAATACCTGTTAATTGAATTGATGCTCTAAATCAATCATTTCTACAATAATTCCTTTGGGGCTTGCTTTGTAAAAACATAAAATAAAATCAATCTTTGCATATGGATCATAAATTTTATTTACTACGCACTGAGATATGTATGTACCAACTGTTATGATCTGGACAATAAACAGCAATACCATTCCCTACCCCTAGTATTAACAGCCCTAATACACCAGTCTTTCTAAGTAATGTATAAGATGTATGATTTAACGGATTAATGCAAATAATATATACACTAATTACAAATGTAATTTGTACAAATAAGGGGTCTGCATTTTCTGTTCCATGGTAAAATTGTGAATATCAAAGTTGTGTATAGCAAGATCTTGAATCTATGGGAACTGAAAAGTTATTTTCCAGACCCTACAATTATCTTCTTCCCTGAGAACTTCATTTCTCTTCCTTCCATAACTATTGTCTATACCAGTGTTTCCCAAACTTGACAATTTTAAGGCATGTGGACTTCAACTCCCAGAAATCCACAGCCAGCATTGCTGGCTGTGGAATTCTGGGAGTTGAAGTCCTCATGCCTTAAAATTGTCAAGTTTGGGAAACACTGGTCTATACAATATACCTCCTTCTTCCTTCAGTCACAGTGGATATCACTGGGTCAGACTGATAGGGCTTCAGATGGTCTGTTCTTCAAATTGAATTTGGTTGGCTGGTGATATACATAAATGCTCCATTTGCACCTCTTGGGTCATGCTGGCTGGGGAATTCTGGGAGTGGAAGTCCACAGGTCTTAAAGTTGCCAAGGTTGGGGACCCCTGCTCTACTGTTCTTTTATGATCTCAGAATAGGAGATTCTTGATCATAGCACTGGCATTCAATGGTACAACTGAGAATTCCACCACGAGAAGGAGCAAATAAACAGACATCGTTGAAAACACATTGTGAATATTTGTATGTAACCACAAAAGTCCATCTGTCATTCTTTGCTTTCCTAATGTAACAAAGTACAAGGTCAAAACTAAGGATACATTAAAAGCTTTATATATACTAAGGTTTGAGCTCTATCAATCGCAGATATGAGAAACCATGGATAACCTGCAATTATTCAGAGCACATAAATTGACTCAAAAGACAATTACCTTGAGTATTTTAGAAATATGCCACTTCTTAAATACATGTGGCATCCAAACAGAAAAATGCTCTGCAGCATTTGAAGTGTACTGAATCATGAGTCAGGTTGTAACCTTAGAGTGAGAGGTAAATTTATAATTTATAATCAGAAGCTATTTCTTTTTATCTTTTTTTCTCCCTTTCTTGCAGTTTTAGCTTTCCCTTTGATTTCTTTTTATTTCCTCTTCCTTACTTTTTATTAATTTGAATTAGTTTTATCTTTTTTAAAACTTTAAAAATTTTATATATATGTGTGTGTTCAGCATAGATTAATTGCAGGAATAATTGTGTGGATCCTATGACAAGTTTTCAATGCATGCAGGTGTCACACAACTCCCTCTTATGTCAACTCATATTTCTTTAGGGCCTACTATACTTCAATCTATACTTTGTAAAGTGATACCAATCCATGGTCTGTTAGGAACCGGGATGCACAGCTGGAGGTGAATGGCAGGTAAACAAGTGAAACTGAAATCATCCACCTCAGTCTGTGGAAAAATTGTCTTCCGTGAAACCAGTCCATGGTGCCAAAAAGATTGGGAACCGCTGTCCTAGTATACAGTCTTAATCAAAATCTTGTTAGCAACAAGTCCTATCAAGTTTAATACAACTTTCTGGTTAAAGGCATTATAAAGGTTACAATTAATTTTTATTGTCAATTTTTCAGTGTGACAAGGATGCAATTCCACTTGTGCCAGCGGCTCTTATATGAAAAATATACGCTTATAAAAACTCTGCTTTACTAGTAATACGCTGCTTTTACTCCACTCTTTCTACTAGCTTAGTTGACTCCTATGATTAAATATGCCATAGCATCTAGCAAAGCAGCTAATGAATGCCTTGGAAAAGATATTCAAATGCCGTTATTCCCTGTGACACTCTGTGGAAGTGAAAGTTGCACTTTAAAGAAATAGGATAGGCAGACTGTTGATGCTTTTCTACTTTCATGTTGAAGAAGACTTCTAAGAATATCATGAACAGCCAAGAAAACAAACTAATAGATCATTGAACAAATCAATCCAGAGTTCTTGGGACCCAAATCATTAAGACTCAAATTATCCTATTTCGGACACATTATGCAAAGACCCAGTTCTCCAGAAATACTTTTATGCTGGGAAAGATAGATGCTGGAAACTAAAGAAGAGGATGAATAGAAGCAAAATAGACTTACAGAATTACAGAGATGATGAGTACATCTTTAGGAAACATGAACAAACAGATTAGAGATAGATTGTCTTAGAGAAAATCTATCTATGTGGTTACTAGGAATTAAAAATGACTTGATGGCACATAATGGATCTATCAATAATTAAAGTATATGAGGAACCTATGCTTCGTAATCATACATGGCACAGTTGTGCTGAAGCCCTGAACCAATCTATGCTCATGATGTCATCTTTTTGATTTCTTGCTGAATGTGCAACAGGGGACTTTGCCTCCTCCATGTCCAGCACAGAACTTCAATGGAACGATCGTCAAAGTTCAAATAATCCTATTCCTGCCAACAATCTCCTAGGTTTTTATAAGCAGATGGTATAAGGAGCCTGATGTGAGCTACCAAACTCCCTCATCTCTACACTTTTGCTCCCTGGGGGAACATCTTTAAAATCAAGAATAGGGTGATCTGATAGCAGATCAGGTTGTCTCTTCAAAGCACATCCTGCTCTGGAGAAACAATGGCCCCCCTCTGAAAATGAAAATTGTAAGACTCACATATAACACAAGCTATATTTTGTGGAAAGGTCTGTTTTGCTAATTTGTCCTAAAGGCTTTCTGTGACCCAAAAATAGCACTACACCCATTTTAATTGTCTAATTGTCTTTTATTGCAAACCGAGTACTTTTATTTACCCGAGCCTTTTAGTTAGTTTTTATTTGGCTACACTTTTTATTTCAACATAAACATTTGTCTATTTGTTTGTCCCTCCTGTAGCCCAGGCCCAGAAGCATAATTGAAGAGAACTATTTTTTTTAAAAAAAAATGGACAAATAAAGAAAGGAAACAGCTATAGCTGAATTCAATTAGGGACTAGAAGGAAAAAAGGAAACGAGAATTATATCAAGTTCTTATATCCTACTTTACCATCTGAATCCGGGTGGGATCTCCCCTTCTTCCCCAGCAGGAAAAAATAAATAAGTTAAAATTATTAGGTGATCTGAAGCCGAAAGACGAAGGAGGCTGAACAGGAGAGGTAACCGAGAAAGCCCTGAAAAATGAGTTTTCCCCAGCTTAGGCCCGAGGTAAGCCCCGGCCTTGCGTGGCGGGCGCTGCCGGTGGCCTTACCGCTTCCACGGCGTGCTGCAGGATGGAGGTGAACTTGGAGAACATCTTGTCCCTGGACTGAAGTAGCCGCTGACGGGAGGATCTGGAGAACTCTTCGATCCGCCGCCTCCGCTCCAGGGTGAGGACTGCATGCGGCTGACCGGGCAGCGGGGATCAGATCGGCTACCGAAGCACGTCGGGCTGCCCAGCTCTGCCTGCCGCAGGAGACACCGTGGCACTGACGGAGGAAAACACCCACCCGCGCCGGGCTTCGGCTACGGAGCCCGGAAGTCGGAAGCCGAGCGCCTTCGGCCGGCGCCGTTGCTTCTACTCCCTCCCCTCTCAGGGGCCTCCAACAGCCGCTACGTCCGCGGACGCCGGTGCTGCAGCGCTTTAGCCAGAGTCGCTTAAGCAGAAAACAACACGGGCTCCGGACTACTTAGAAGAGAGCTGTGGTGTAACGCAAACGGCAAGTAAAGGATCTCTCAAGCGCAGCTCTTCTTCCCCTCGCGCCAAAGATCGAGCAAATGCCTGATGAAAGGGGAGGCAGAGCGAAGTTCTGATGCACGGCAGGTGCCTATTGCAAGGGAAGGAGGCTGGGGGGGGGGGGAACGAGAGAGGGAGAAAAGCGATAACACGAATGCAACTACGGGCCCAGGGAGGAAGATGCGAAAGAGGCGGAGAGTTGGCTTATCTCGAAGCGCTCGCTGGCTGAAGAGGTCGATCTAATCTCCTGTCCCGATCCAGATGTTCACTCACCTCTGGCGGACATGGCTCAGATAGACTAAGAGAGAGGTGGCGGCGAGCGCAAGAAGCGAAGCCCCCCTCCCCCTTCGACATTAACCGGGCGCAGCCGAGCAGTATCTCCCCATGTGCCGCCGGGACTGCGAGCGAGAGGGCGGTACCTGTCTGTGTCTCAAAGGGAGCGAGGGAGCGCCGCGGACTAGTACAACAGCCCACCGCTGCAGCCATTGCGAGCAGCGACCGGCTGGGCCTGGACGGGGCCATTTACCGCTTCGGCAGGCGCTGCAGCGCCAGTCGGGTCTGGCTAAAAAAACAAGCGCCTTTCCCGGCCCACCAGTTCGTGGCCGGGGCGTTCTGAGGAAGAGAGGGGAGGCAATTTGCCTCTTCGGTCCTTGATGCAATAACATTCCGGAATGAATTCTGGCTTAGCCGCCGGATAAAGAAGCCAAGTCTGTTTTTCTGAGAGCAACTCAGGACATTTATGCCGTTTGCATCGAGCTAGCAACAGGTACTACCGTCATCCACGGTATTTTTAAAGGGGGAGGGGGCACTTCCAGGTGCCCACAATGAAATGTTGGAAGAAAAGTCTTCATCATGGTTCAGTCCATGCCGGGGGATAAACAACATGGCAACTGCTTTAGAAAAAAGGTTGCAGTTTAATCAAGAAGCTTGGGAGATTTTGAAAAATGAGATAATAAAAACCCAGTCTAGCACAATACCAACAAAGAGGGAAAACAACAGCTCTTAAAAGAAACCAGCATGGCTGCATAAAGAACTCTGATAAATTTAAAGATAAAAAGGACAAGTATAGAAACTGGAAAGAGGGGCACATAACTAAGTCAGAATATTAGCAAATAGCCTGAGCCTGCAAAGATAATGTGAGGAAAACTAAGGCTTGTGACCTTAGTCAAAAATAACAAAAAAAAGCTTAACGTGTAAAAAACAAGAAAAAAGTGAAGGAAACAATTGGTCCATTAATGCGTGAAAGTGGCAAGAAGGTGACAAGCAACAGGGAGAAAGCAGAACTATTTAACTTGTTTTTTTGTATCTGTCTTTACACAAAGGGAAAAAACAGACCAATCTATCAAAAATAGTGCCATAAAAAACAATAGAAACACAAGTTAAGCTAGGCAAGAAAATGGTAAGTGAGCACCTGTCCAGCGTAGAGTTCAAAACACCAGGACCAGATGGATTACACCTCAAGGTTCTCAAGGATCTGCAGATGTGATTTCAGAACTACTGAACTATATTTTTCAAAGATCCTGGAGCGTTGGGGAACTACCAGAGGACTGGAAAAGAGCTGATGTAGTTCCCATCTTCAAAAAAGGAAAAAAAATGGATCCAGGAAATTACAGACCTATCAGCCTGACTTCAATGCCTGGGAAGATTCTGGAAAAGATAATCAAACAACGAATCAGCGAACACCTAGAGGCAAACAAAGTCATTATTTAAAAGCCAACATGGGTTTGTCAAAAACAGATTATGCCAGACAAATCTTATTGCATTCTTTAACCAAGTGACAAAATTAGTGGATCAGAGGAATGCTGTAGATATAATTTACTTGGACTTCAGTAAGGCATTTGATAAAGTAGATCACAACCTACTACTTGATAAGATAGAAAAATGTGTATTAAACAGCATCACCACCAGATGGATTCATAGCTGGCTGACCGGCCATATTCAGTGTGTGGTCCTCAATGGAACTGCATCTACATGAAGGCTGCACAAAATTGCATCCAATAGTGAAGTGGTGTTGGAAGCCTTCAATCCTGAAGACCACACTAAGGGATTACAAGACCTCAATTTTGGCATTGATGTCCCTCTTATCCAACGCAGTCTCGGTCTGTGTTGGGACTTGAAGAAAGATGTCTTTACCTTTAGAGCTCTGGCACAGAACACTGTCTTCACAAAAGAGGAGTTCTGTCAACAGTGAATAGTCTGTTCGACCCTCTAGGGTTTGCCGCACTGGTAACGGTCCAAGGGAGGCTCCTTCTGCGTGCGCTTTCCCAAAGCACCACAGACTGGGACGAGCCACTTCTGCCAGAACAGAAGCAAGCCTGGGAGACGTGCTGCTTCCTTGGAGGGGAGGGTGAGGGGAAGGGAGTGAGGGGAAGGGAGTCCATGAAATGAGGCTGCAGGCCAGGCGGAAGCGTGGGTCCCATCGCATCGCTGTTCCCAGCTAAAGGCATAAGGAGAGTGGGCAGAGGAGATGACTGCAGCTCCGGAGGAGAGGAAGCCGCAGCCGTGATGGTGGCAGGCAGGCTGGGGGAGTCTCCAGGCCCTCTTTCCGATTCGGAGAGCCACTTGTCCTCCCCGCTAAACCTGACTGAGCAGTTCAACAGGGCGGTATAGCGTGTCCCGATGCTGGTGGCTGCGGCCAGCAAGGATCAGCTTCTCTACTTATACGCGTGCTATAAGCAGGTCAAATGTGGTCATTGCAACATTCCCAAACCTGTATTTTTTTATTTTGAAGGCAAGCAGAAATGGGAAGCTTGGAAAGCATTGGATGACACAAGTCTTGAGCAGGCAATGCGAGAGTACATTGATGCTGTGAAAAAATTGGACCCTACATGGAATCCACAGATATGAGAAAAGAAAGGAAAAGAAGGAAAAACTTTATATGGAGATCCAGTTGTCAGTTCATTGTATCAAGAAGAAACCATCAGGGAAGAAAATAAGAACATATTTGACTATTGCAGAGAAAACAACATTAACCATGTAACCAAAGACATCCGATCAAAAAAAGGAGTGAACACATGTAGGGAATGGGTTTTTATACTCTTTGGAGCCTTTTGTTTGGAGTTGTTCCTGTGGCATGAACTTTGACCTGAGTCTGAGTGTGCCTTTCTGGTATTCTGATGGTGATGGGTCAATCTTATTATGTCCAAAGGTCATATTCTGCTTCCCTGGGGCTGATGACTCTTAGAGTTTGGATAGGGTATGTAGATTTTAGGTCTTCTTAATCTCCTAGCTCCCTGGATTTACATTTGCATCTCTATAGAACTGGTTTCTGCTTGGGGAAGGGAGACTTGGGGCTATTAAGAAAACTGGGCATGCTTTCCTGCCTCTTCAAGATCCTTTGAGAAAATATATTTTCCTGCCCTTTTAATATTTCCTTCTCTGGGGGGGCTGACTTCCCACAGAAGGAACCTCAGCGAGTATAAATTGATAAACTGTATTTGAAATTATCAGTATTTTGATCAGCATTTTCAATTCAAAGCAGTTAAATCAGTTAAAATATATTCTAAAATATATTCTAAATATACAGTTTTCCCATACAAATATCATAGTATTGTTTTCAATGGCCAAAGAATGATGGAGGAAAAAAACGTACATCGAGGTAAGATGAATTAGAAAAAGGGGGAATGTTCAGATGATTATTTTTCATTCTGGGCCTTTCAGAGCCTTTAAAAAGTCCTGTTGTTTCTGGATAGATAGATAGATAACCTTTATTGTCACCTTTTACTGTGGACAAAATGGCACACATTAAAAATGAAATGTAATTGCTTGCTCTCAAACTGCAGTGAAGGTTTTATAGTTTGTGATGTTGTGTGTGACTTCAGATATGTGGTGATTCATCAGCTGAAGCACAACCATATTATGTTTACAAAACCAGTCAGTATTGTTGATGCCTCCTGGTATGGGAAAAAAACAGAAACTGTCCTCAAGCCTGGCTCATAAGCTGCTTTTTTCAAGAGGGAGACGACAATGTGCACCTTGGTCAACTATTACACAGCTCATTCTCTGGGCACAAATAGCAAGACTTTAATCCCAGAAGAGCTTCCAGGTGGATATGTTTTCTCAAGATAAATTGATGGCCAGAATACTATTGTAGAGCTTATAATGGTAATGTCTGAAATGTCCAAAACGATATCTGTAAGTTCAAAGTACAACAAAAGCAACATCCTTTTCATTTAACGATAGTAGGCACGTCATATATACAATAAAAATCTTCAGAGCAACTAAAAGTGCATTATCTACTCTATGGCACACTATATACATCTGTCATAATGATTAAATCAATATTTCGGAGGGCCTCATTCTGTCTGCCTAAATGTGCACCCAAGTCTTTAATAAGTCTAAAAACTATCCTGATTTCACTAAAAACCTGAATTGGACTCTGCCATCTGAGATACATGCTCAAATTAGTATTGGAAAATCCTTTAGTGGTGTTGACTTTGCAAGCATTGGCTTTCTCCCTCATGGCTATAGATTAAAGTCCAAATATGTTGGATTTTACACTCAATATTTTGTCTCAATTGGCTAAGAAAAAGCTCTGTTGGAAATCAGTTAAGAGGACTTGAGTTTTCTCCATAAAAGTATTACTTAACTATACCATCCATAGTATAAAATACCTTACCAATATTTCATGCTAAAGACACAGAAAAAGTTTTATGTTAGCTAGATTCTCCTCAGGATACACTGTGACACTGACGGGAGGCTAATACCCACCTTCACTGGGATTCGGCTACAGAGCCCAGAAGCCGATTGTCTTTGTTCGGCATCATTGCTTCTGCTCTCTCTCCTCTCTTGGGGAGGGGGCTACAAAAGTTGCTACCTCTGCAGGTGCTGCAGCGCTTTAGCCAGAGCCGCTTAAGCAGCAGAAGAGGAAAACAACGTGCTCTCCGAGAAAGAAAGAACTACAAAACACAGCTTTTTTCAATTCTTCTTGTCCGAGCCAGAAACCAGGAGGTGTCTAGTAGCACCTTTTCTGAGTCAGTTTTATTGAAGTTTTCGTCAGTTGCAGCTCACTCCCAACAACAGCTTATCTTCTCATTTATAAATTGAAGGGTGGCATTTAGTATTACCTCTCACAGGGTCTATATGTTAATCCTTAAAGCTACACCTTTCAAATTTCCCTTACTACTTTCCAAGAGAAAGTACTGTCACTGATGAAACAACTTTTTCTTTTTTTCTTTCGACTTCAATAACTGTTGTATGTTTACCTATGTATGAATTTTATCTGTGAATGACAAGGATCCTTAAATAGAATACAGGTAATCCTTGATGTACAACCATAACTGAGCCCCAAGTTTTTGTTGCTAAGCGAGATAGTTCTTAAATGAGTTTTGCCCCATTTTAAGACTTTTCTTGCCACACATAAGTGAATCCTGCAGTTGCTAAGTTAGTAACATGATTGTTAAGTGAATCTGGTTTCCCCATTGACTTTGCTTGTCAGAAGGTCACAGAAGTTGATCACGTGACTCTGGGACACTGCAACCATCAGAAATATGAGTCAGTTGTCAAGCGTCTGAATTTTGATCACATGATCATGGGAATGCTGCAAAGGTCATATGTGTGAAAAATGGTCATAAGTCACTTTTTTCTGTACCGTTATAACTTTGAAGGGTCACTATATGAACTGATATAAGTCAAGGACTACCGGTATCATGGTAGATGGTAGTACCTACCTGATCTTGATGAAAAGCTAAGTAGAGTCTGAACTTGTTAGCACATGGAGTAATATTGTTGGCTAGATTGGGGAGTAAGTTATACACACACCACACTCAAAAGCAAACTACTTCCATGTTTTACAGGAAAACCGTATGGATGTGTCTAACACAGATACCAGGGAATTAAACTCAACTTGAGGGACCTTTTAAGAGAATGTGTGATAATGCTTAGATTGATTAAAATAGTATAGATTTTTAGAAAAACCAAAACAGCAAGCAGGGATAAGGACAATT